CCCTAATTCTTTCCAGTACTGCACTGCCAGTATCAGTCCTACCAATAACGTCTTTTAACTTATCAAATAATTGTAGAGTGATGAGCTCTTAGGTAGGACAATGGTTGCTAGGCAACTTGTGGTACCTCCCATTGGCAGACGAGAGAGTGTGTAGCCTATTCATAGTGACATTAAATAATAATTTTAATTATTTTTGTGCTATACCTGGGTTTGACCAGAAATCTATCACATCATTGGTTCCACCTATACATGTACATAGAGGTAATAGTAATAGTAATTATGAGTAAAGAAGATTAAGAAGATTAAAAATTTACATGTAAGTAGACTAATACCATATAGCAGAAAATTTTGGAGGGAATAAAATTTCGTAAATTGCTAAATTTTGGTGATTGGCGGATTTTAATTTGGCAAATTTGTGGCCATGTGCCATTGAGCATGCACATAATGGCTCAAAATGGTGGATTATTATTTTGGCGAATGGCTATCGAAATGCCAAATTTGGTAAGTTTAATTCCCTCTAAAATGTCTCGCTATATGGTATGTCATCTTATGTCATGAACTGATTTAAATTCCAATCAAAATGAGATTTTATAACTTTTTAATGCTTCAAAAAATTTGTCATTGAAAGGCCGTGAACAAAAATGGCTAGAAAAATTCCTAATTTATAATTACAATTTAAAGGCATACTGCCTTACATGTAGCTGCTACACATTATATATGAGTATAGATCTACCTAATCCATGAATGTGTAAGTCAATGAAGCCAGGAGTCAATAAATGAGTCTTAATCACATCTTTAACTGTTCAGTGGTGGACGAGTACTGGATAATATCAGTAATGGTCTCGGTAATGGTATCTTGTACTATACTGACGTATACTGGCCCTTTCTTTAGCTCTCCTCCAGGCAGAACAACCTCCTCCGCTTCTATTACTGTTAAAGCCGAGGTTAAAGCAGCTCGAGTCGAAGCGTCCATACTGATTGCTGAGCCTCAAGCCTGATTTAATTAATAGCGTGGGCGGCTGGGCATGGAGCTACAAGCTAGGTTAACATAGGTAAAGGAAAGATCCAGAAATTGTTAAGTATACAAGACATGTGAGGGACCATTATTATTATTACTGCTGTGAATAGTTCTGTTTAGCATCAGAAAAATTATAAGGGGAGAGTTCTCTCATTTTCATTTTTGACAAAATTTGGCCAAATCTTTGTGAAATGATGGGCTATAGCCTTGGATATTTTTCAAAAATTGGCTTTTTAAAAAAATGTTCATAAATTGATAAATATTTGTCAGAATAAGCTCAAACTTTCTACACAGCATAAATACATCAATATGTATCAGAAAATGTAATAAAAATTTGTGGTGATTTCGGAGCCATTTTTTGGAAAAAAGCATGGGCTATAGTACAGGGTATTTTTCAGGAAATGTTGAATTTCTATAAATGACCGTAGCTTGAAAAATGTCTGTCAGAATCAGCTCAAACTTTCTACACAGCATAAATACATCAATATGTTTCAGAAAATGT